TGCTAGGTAAAGTCCCTCTTTTAATTATGTCCTGCCCTAAGAGGCATGCTATACAACATGACCCTCATCCCCATCCCTCATCTTCTCTCCCCACTCCCTCATTCTCCTACTGCCCACCTTGTATTAGATCATCTACTGCCTTTGTATTAGAATTGAGTGCATTGAATTCTTGCTTCTCCATTTTTATGATGCTTTATTAAGAAGAATATATTCCAACTCAATCCAGGTTAATACAAAAGATGTAAATTCCCCATCTTTTTAATGGCTGAATAGTATTCCACAAGATACATATACTACAGCTTGTTAAACTATTCCTGGATTGGTGGGCATTTAGGTTGTTTCCACACTTTAGCATTTGTAAATTAAGCTGTGTTAAACAGTCTCGGGCAAATGTCCTTAAGATAAAAGAATTTTTTTCTTCTGGGTAGACCCCAAGTAATGGGATTGTAGGATCAAATGGAAGGTCTAATTTGAGTTCTTTGAGGATTCTCCATATGTTCTTTCCAAAAAGGTTGTATTAGTTTGCAGTTCCACCAGCAATGTAAAAGTGTTCCCTTCTCTCCACATCCATGCCAGCATCTGTAACTTTAAGACTTTGTGATGTGGGCTATTTTCACTGGAGTTAGGTGATATCTCAGCATGGTTTTGATTTGCATGTCTCTGATGATTAGGGTAGATGAACATTTTTCATATGTTTGCTAATCATTTGTCTGTCTTCCTTAGAGAAGTTTCTATTCATGTCTTTTGCCCAGTGATCTATGGGATTGTGTTGGGCCTTTTTTGTTGATTAATTTGAGTTCTCTGTAGATCCTAGTTATCAAGCTTTTGTCTGATTCATAATATGCAAATATCTTTTCCCATTCTGAAGGATGTCTATTTGCTTTGATTGTTGTCTCCTTAGTAGTACAGAACATTTTTAGTTTAATTAAGTCACATTTGTTTATTCTTTTTGTATTCTAAGGAAAAAGATTTAACATAAAACCTGAATATTCACATAATTATAAATGATAAAATTTATGAAATATCTTTTTGAGGAGTTCTGCTGTTCCATCTTTTCTATTTTGACTTATCCCACCAATTTATCCCACACTTTTTTTATGGCTTTCCCCTGCCTTGACAAGCTTCATTTACAGATTCCCATCTCCCAAGTGATATAGAAAGTTTTCCCCTATATAAGCTTAGATGGTTATTATTAATTGTCATTTTTTTAAGACTAGTGAGTGCAGTAGTGAGAAGGAAGGAAATAGTAACAAGGCAGTCTAACTGACTGAACAATGATTGAAATAACTTGTTACCTTCAGAGTAGTCTATTTTTAAAAAATTTCACCAACATCTAGGTAGTTGCCTGGAAACTTCTTTGCCCACTTCCCAAAGTATGTTGGTTAGCTGTCCATCCTTCTTGTTAGAGCTAATCTATTTTCTGCTTTTAATCAGTTTTTGGATGTGTGTGTTGGTGGGAGGAAAGAATATTATCTGTAAATTTGTTTGTTGTCATCCTATGTTGCTAAAATATATTCTCCAGTAATTCTTTCAAATGGGGGATGCAAGAAATAGACTTCCTAAATTCTTTGATATCAAGAAATGTCTTGGCTGGATATAGAATTCTAGGTTTAAAGCTTTTATCCTGCAGGACTTTTATGACAGCACTCCACTTACTTCTAGCATCCAGGATATCCAGTGATAAATCTGATGTCAGTCTGATTCTTGTTCCTCAGTTGGTTATTTCTTTTCTCTCTCTGAAAGCCCTTAAGATTTCTCTTTATCACTAGAATTGCAAAATTTTGTCAAGATATATCTAGGAGGGGGTGGTGCCCGTGGCTCAAAGGAGTAGGGCACCGGCCCCATATACCAGAGGTGGCAGGTTCAAACCCAGCACTGGCCAAAAAAAAAAAGATATGTCTAGGAGGGAGTTTCCTCCTATCAATCTTATTGGATATTCAGTAAGCACTGACAATCTCAACAGTCGACTTTTTCTTTAACTCAGGAAAGGTTTTATCAATTATTTCCTTAATTATGTCCTCTGTGCCATTCTCATTGTTATTCTTTTTTGGAATTCCTGTCAAATGAATGTTAGAGCTTCTGAATCTATCCTCTATATCTCTTAATCTTTCTTTACTTATTATCTGTTTGGTAATTTTTACGATATCCTAAGAGAACAATTTGATCTTCTAGATTGTTAAATCTTTCTTCAAGTATGTCCATCCCACTACTCAGATCATCTATTGAATTTATAAAATTTGAGACTTCTGGATGATAATTTTTAATATTTCCCTATTCTCTCATATCTCTCTGATGCTATTAATCACATTTCTTCTAAAGTTTTCTTCTGCTTCCTGTATTAAGTCTACCTTTCATAATAGAAAAGAAAAGAAAATTATAAATCTCATTCTCTGTTTTCCTAAACTTTTAGTGACTCCTGTCATGGTACTCAAATTTGCACATGAATGCTTCTTATGGGTTTTGTCTATTAGCTGGTGTTTCACCAACTTTTCCTTCTTAGATTCCCAAACCAAACAACTAGAGGAAATTTGTTTAAGTCCTCTTGAGTCTCCCTTTTTTCCAGCCTGGATGGTAGTCACTATCTTTCCTATCTCAGAGACTTTCCCTCCCTCTTCTTCTTCAACTGGCTCAGAATCCTTCTCCACATCAATAAAAACAATATCCACATAATTACCTGCTATTTTTTCAACTCCACACTTTACATCTACCACAGTGATACCCTGAAAAGGTGAGTCCTGGTCCTCACATAACAGTGCAGTCTCATCCTCTTCCAAACCTGAGGCCTTTTCTCCATCCTCTTCCTCCTTCATTCCTGAGGCCTCTTTATCCTCCTCCTCCTCTTCCTTTCTCCAGCCCTGAGGCCTATTCTCCCCACTCCCTCTCCTCTAATTCTGAGACCTATTCCCCCCTCAACTTCTCCAACCCCAAGGCCTCTTCTCTCTCCTCTTCCTCCATTCCTGACACCTTTTCATCCTCCTCTAGTTCTGAAGACTCTTCATCCTTAAACAGGCCAGTTTCTTTTTCCTTCTACTCTAAAGAGTCCTTCTCCAGAGTCTCTAAGTTTTTCACATCCTCTGGCTTAGCAGTTTTTACCTCTTTACTCAATAGAAACCTCAAGCCATCTCTGGTTGCTTGTCCAGCTAGTCTATTAGAGTTTTATCCACTTTTTCTTGAATCCTGTATATTCTTCCTCTTTGATTTTTTTTTTATTTTGTGGGAGTGCCTCTTTTAGTAATTCTTTCATAGAAGATTTTTGACTAACAAATTTGCTAAGGCTTTGAAGGTCTGAAAACTTTTTTATTCCACCATCACATGTAAATGCCAATTTAACTTGGCATAGTAATTTTGGGTCATAATCATTTTCTCTCAGAATACTGAAGACATTACTCCACTGCTTACTAGTATACAGTATTGCTGATAAAAAGTCTTTTGCCTCTTTAAATGCCTGGGTTAGCTCAAGATCTTTGTCATCAAACTGTAACATTCTTCCTTCTCCATGGTTTAATCTGTTCTTGAAACGTCCTACTCAATTTTGGAACTCCCTGAACATCTCCTTCAATTCTTGACACTCACTTATATCTTTTCTAACTTCATCCAGGTCCTTTAAGAACTTATCTTGCATTTCCTTATTTAGTTATAATACTTTTTGGAATCCTTTTTCCAAAAACTTTCTATTCTCTTCAGCCTACTTGCCGTCCATAATCTGAATTCCATGTCTGTCATTTTCACAATTTCTTTGTAGCTGGAATCTTCTGTAGTAGCTCCATTGTGATCCTGTGGAGGAGTTGTTTTGTTCTGGTCCTTCATATAGCCAGAGACTTTTTGCTGGTTTTTCCTCATGTGTGATTTATTCTTTATTTTCTCCCCCTATTCCTACTCTCTGTTCTTTTATCCTCTCTTCCCTTCCCTTTGTTCTTCTTTAGCACAGAGCTTTGGGGTTAAAGTAAGGTGACCAGATGTCCTGCTTTTGGTGGGACAGTCTTGATTTTTAACAATTTGTCCCATGTCCTGTGGCATTTTTAAAAAGTCCCAATTTTTGGAAAGAATGAACAACAATCTAGGGAAGGGCAGGACAACAGGAAGGGAATATACAGTTTTTGGTGACTGAAAAGGTTAATGTAACTCCATTTGGGAATGAAGAGGTTAATGTAACTTCATTTAGAAATGAAAAGGCTAATGTAAACTCCCTACTCCCCTCCTGGGCAAGGTTGCCCAGGTGGACTGACGCCCTACTCCTTTGAGCTGCCCTATACATAATTTTTTTAATGTATTATATTTGTAAATTGTACTTATTTGTGTTCTATGAAAATTTTTGCTCAATATAACCGAATTTCTAATCAAGAACACACCCCTCCTCCACCCCACCCCTGCTCCACCATCGCCCCATGCCCAATCAATGGTGTCCTCCTTTACTAATGTTAAAATCTGATCACCTTAGGTTAAAGTGACCTATTACCTGTATGTAGTCTTAGGTATCCAAAAGAGTTTAAAAAGAAATTAGTGAAAACACCAGGTGGCGCTCCAGTATCAGCAGAGACAGGTGCTCTGTCCCCTGATGGCCCCTATCTGGATTCTGGATTGTGATAGGTGCAATCTTCCTGCCCCTGTTCTTGAAGATAGGCTGGTAGTGCCACAGGCTTGGAGGGTACCCTGGACATTCAAGGACATGGCAACATAGTTCTGGGACCAATTAGAGAGTTATTTCTTGAGCAGGGATTAAAAAGGGACTTGGAGATTCAAAGTATGATCTTGGGGAGGATGAAACATCCCAGCCTAGTTCGTGGATCTGCAGAGCAGTCCAGAGATGGCTGCCCAAGCTCAGAAAGTGAGCAGGGCCTGACACAGGCTTGTGTCTTGCTGAATTGGGGTAGTAGGCACCATTGTACTCTACTGGAAGCCATAGAACAAAAAAACTGGTGGTCTTAGCTACTCAGGAGGACAAGACAGGAAAGAAGATGAACCTAGATGTTTGAGGTTGCAGTGAGATGTGATGACACTAAAAAAATATGGAATTCTTCATGCATTTGTCTGTTATCCTTATGCAGGGGCCATGCTAATCTTCACTGTATCATTCCAATTTTACTATATCTGCTGCGGAAGCAAACACCACATTTTTTTATTTGTGTTGTTGTTGCCATTGCCATGGAAGTCTTCTTCATAAAATCTTTCTAAAGGCCGATGTCTTCAAGTGTTTTGCCCACACTTTCTTTGAGAATTTTTATTGTTTCATGACTTACATGGAAATCTTTTATCCATCTTGAATCAATTTTTGTAAGTGGTAAAAGGTGCAGGTCCAGTTTCAGCCTTTTACACGTGGTTATCCAGTTCTCCCAACACCATTTATTGAATAGGGATTCTTTTCCCCAGTGTTTGTTCTTGTTTGGTTAATCAAATATCAGGTGGCTATAACATGTTAGTTTCATCTCATGATTTTCTATTCTATTCCAAATGTCTATATCTCTATTTTTTGTGCAAATACCATGAGCTTGATCACTATGACCTTGTAGTATAGCCTAAAGACTGGTAGGGTGATGTCTCTGGGTTTGTTTCTATTGCTAAGAATTGTCTTGGCTATGCAGGGCTTTTTCTGGTTCCATACAAAACAAAGAATTACTTTTTTTTGAATCTTGAAAGTATGATGATAGTATTTTAATTGGAATTGAAGTGAATATGTAGATTGCATTGGGTAGTATAGACATTTTGAAAATGTTGATTTTTCCCAGCCATGAACATGGTATGTTCTTCTATTTGTTAATATCTTCTGCTACTTCTTTTCTTAGGGTTTCATAATTTTCTTTGTAGAGGTCCTTCACATATTTTTCTTATGTTTATTCCTAGGTATTTTTTTTCTTTTCTTGTCCTTTTTTTTTTTTTTTAAGCTACAGTACAGTGAAGGGAATTGTGTCCTCAATTAGATTCTCATCTTGGCTGTTATTGGCATCTACAAAGGCTACTGATTTGTGGATATTGATTTTATATCCTGAGACATTACTGTATTTTTTGATCACTTCCAGGAATCTTGTGGTGGTGTCTTTGTGGTTCTCTAAGTATAGGATCATATCATCAGCAAAGATTGAGAGTTTGACCTCCTCTGCCACCATTTGGATGCCCTTTATTTCCTTCTCTTGCTTAATTAATTGTATTGGCTAGAACTTCCATCACTATATTGAATAGTTGTGGTGATAGAGGACAACCTTGTCTGGTTCCTGTTCTAAGTGGAAAAGCTTTAAGTTTCACCCCATTCAACATAATATTATCTGTAGGTTTGTCATAGATGTCTTCAATCAGCTTAAAAGATATGCCACTTATGCCTATATTCTTAAGTGTTCTAATTGGTGAGTAATTCTGAATTTTATCAAATTACTTTTCTGCATCTATTGAGGGAATCATTTGGTCATTATTTTTGCTTCTGTTGATATGGTGAATTACACTTATGGACTTGCATATGCTAAACCAGCCTTGCATCCCTGGGATGAAACCTACTTGATCATGATGTATAATTTATTTAATGTGTAGTGTAATCTATTGGGCTAGGATTTTGTTGAGAATTTTTGTATCTATATTCATTAGTGAAATTGGTCTGAAGTTCTCCTTTTAGTTGGGTCTTTTCCTGGTTTTGGTATCACAATAATGTTTGCTTTGTAGAATGTGTTGGGGAAGATTCCTTCCTTCTCAACTATTTGGAATAATTTCTGCAGTATGGGTATAAGCTCTTCTTTGAAGATTTAATAGAATTCTGGTGTGCAGCCATCTGGACAGTACATTATTTTTGTTGGGAGATTTTTTATTGTTTCTTTGATCTCAGTTCTTGAAATTGGTCTGTTCAAGAGATCTATTTCTTCTTGGTTAAGTCGAGGAAGAGGGTGTGACTCCAAGTATTGATCCATTTCCCCAACATTGTCAAATTTCTGGGCATAGAGTTTCTTGTAGTATTCAGAGATAATTTCTTGTATCTCTGTGGCATCTCTCTCAATCTCAATAGAGATTGCCCCTATCTCCAACCAGTTAAGGAAAAGGGTTATTATTTCCCCTTTATCATTTCTGATTGAGGTTATTAGAGATTTTAATTTTTTGTTTCTAGTTATTCTGGCCAAAGGTTTATCAATTTTATTTAGCTTTTCAAAAAACCAATTTTTTGTTTTGTTGTTTTTCTGAATAATTCTTTTGTTATCAATTTCATTAATCTCTGATTTAATTTTGGCTATTTCTTCTGCTGGGCTTGATATTAGATTGTTCTTCTTTTCCAATAAGACAATTCATGGGTTTTTTGATGTGCTCTCTTTCTGTTTTTCAGATGTAGGCATCTAATGCAATAAATTTCCCTCTTAAGACTGCTTTTGCTGTGTCCTGCAGGTTTTGGTAACTTTTGCTGTTGTCATGTTTGAGGAATTTAACAATTTCCTTTTTTATCTCTTCCTAACCCCAACTATCATTCAGCTTAAGGTAGTTTAATTTCCATGCCTTTGTATGGGTATGAACATTTTTGTTAGAGTTGAGTTCCTCCTTTATTGCCTTGTGGTCTGAGAATATATAAGGTAGAATTTCTATTTTTTTAAATTGTATTAGGGATTCATTTGTATCCTAGGATGTGATCTGTTTTGGAATATGTTCCATGGGATGACAAGAAAAATATATATTCATTAGCTTTGGGATGGGGTGTTCTGTATATGTCTATTAACCCTATTTGTTCTAGGGTCACATTTAAGTCCTTTGTATCTTTGTTCAGTTTCTGTTTAGAGGATCTGTCCAATTCTGTTAGAGGGTGTTAAAGTCTCCAACTATTATGGTGTTATGGCATATCATATTTCTCAGACCAATCAAGGTCTGTTTCATAAATCTGGGAGCAGCTAAGTTGGATGCATAAATATTTAGAATTGAAATGTCTTCTTGTTCTTGGTCTTCTTGAACAATTAACAAGACCAGTATGAAGTGTCCTTTTTGCCTTTCTTAATTTTAGTTGCTTTAACTCCACTTGTATCTAGTATCTAAAATTTAGATTGCAATCCCTCCTTTCTTCTGATTGCCATTTGCTTGAAATACTGTTTTCCATCCTTTAACTCTGAGTCTTGATTTGTCTTTCAAGGCTAGATGTATTTCCTGGATTTAAAACATGGATGTCCTGTGCTTTTTTATCCAATCATCTAGGCATTTATTGAGAGAATTGATGGTGGAATTCTATTCATCTCATTTTGTGAAAGTATGTTGTATAATTTCATCCTTCTCACCAATGTGGAAGCTAAGTTTTGACCTTTAGCTTCAGGATGTTTACTTAGCTTGTAGTCCATTGTGATTGTCAGTGTTGAGACTAGTTCTAAGTATTTCCTGTAGATCTCGTATTGTTGCAAATTTCCTTATTACTTGCATATCTGCAAAGAATGGATTTCTCCATCAGTTTTGAAGCTTAGTTTAGCATGAAATAGATTTCTGGGCTGAAAATTGTTTTGTTTAAGAACATTGATGTTCAGGACAGAGCAGGAGCAGCATGGAAAATCCTAATGATTCCCAGGGTATCCCTGTTCCCTCAGACACCCCAAAGAAGCAGAAGTGGGAGCACAAGGTCTACACTAAATAACAGCAGAACAAACTCAAAAAACACTTTGAGATGAATAATAACCCACCCTGAGGACCACCATACCATGAAAGAATGACTCAACCTGCACAAGTACAAAATGCAGGTGTAGTTCAAGAACCACAGAGCCAAACAGTCTCAGGAGGACATCCACAAACAACTACCTGGGTACCAAGACCATGTATGTCATGGCCAAGGAGCCCTGAGAAGCCTGAACAGCACCTACATTCACCAGGGCCCATAACCCTGGCAGCAGCAGCCCCATGTTCCTATAGTGCCTAGGTTTCTGGAGCACCCCTCTGCCTGGCCCCCCATGAATCTTCCCAGCAGCAGAATCTACAAAGGCCTATAGCCTCCACCAGGCCTGAGGGTGCTCAGGGTACAGCACCCAGTAGGGCATCCCTGCGGCCCCAGCCCACAGCTGGGTGCATGTCAATGCCCAGCCTTTGGCCCATTCCCAGATTCAAGCCCTTGCCCAGGTCCAGGCCCAACTTCAGGTCCATTACTAGGCTCATTGTCAGGTCCAGGCCAAACCTCAGACCCAGGCCCAGAACCAGGCCCAGTCCCAGGTCTAGGCTCATTCCCAGGCACTGCCCCAAACACAGCCCAGTTCCCACTCTATTCCTAGAGCCCTTATGCCTCTGATTTCTCAGCAGACATTCTGCTATTATCTTACATCTCTGAGCTCCACTCATCCCAAGATCCTCAGGTCTCCTCAGTCTCTACCACCACATCTGGGAACCAAGAGGGGGATGATTTTGTGGACAAAAAAGATTCAGGCTGTAAGTCACTACTGGATTTATAGGGAGCTGTGCTTTCAAAGCCCTGAAGATCCCAGGGAGAAGAGGGGCTTGAGGAGTGGCTGGTTACTTTTTCCAGTGGAATGCATCACCTTTTACCCAACCTGCTAGAGGGTGCATTTGTTGCCTTAGCTATAAGCTATCACAGGTCATCCTGATATGAATGTCCTCACTTGGTCATTTGGGTTGACTGTGAATATCTTGGTTAACTAGGAGTGAAGGCTCCTCTTGGAAGTCCAAAATCTTTCAAAATGACTTGTTTTAGCACCCCCTGGAGTCAGCATCCCTATTCCCTCCTTCCCCTACACTCAGGAATTGAGACATTTTAATGTTTGTCATTCCACTAACCTGTGACTTAATTTGGTTTTATTATATATTTTCCTGTTTGAGAGGTTGAGAAATTTCTCACCTGGGCCTTAAGAATTCTTCTATAAAAGGTAAATTAGCCCCCTCTGCATTGGTTTATCAAGCTATATTCCAGGCACTTTTCTTTTTTTTTTTTTTTTTCCATACATTATATTCTATAATAAAATGTTTATAATAATAATAAAAGAATGTTGAAGGTGGATGACCATTGCCTTCTGGCTTGGTAAGTTTCAGTTGAAATGTCTGCTGTCACCCTAATGGCTCTGCCTCTGTAGGATAGTTGGCTCTTACTCCTTGCTGCTTGCAGAATTTTCTCTTTATTTCTTGACTTTGGACAGGTTCATTACAAAGTGTCTTGGTGTGTCTGT